TCTCAGCTGCTGTGACTTTGTCTCCTTCCCCAGAGAAATGCTGATAATAAAAGGAGCAAGCCTGTTCAGACTAAGAAAGGAACAAAGGTTTTTATAGAATTTAATTGAGTTTTGCATGGCTACTCTACATACTCTGAGGCTGTGTGGCTTTTATAGGGCCTCTACTGAGTGTCACACACACACACACACACACACACACACACACATATATATATACATATATATGTATATATATATATATATATATATATATATATATATATATAATGCTGTGTGTCTTGCTCAAATCCTGAACAGTCTTTCTGCTTCTAAAAGGAAGGAGGATGTCAGAAAAGAATCAGGAAGGATGTCACTGATGGGTCCATCTATTTTTGCCATCATTGTTTGAATCTAGGAATCTTTAACTCAGGGCCAGATGGGAACTTGTAATCCAAATCTCTCCCTTCTTTATTCATTTCAGGAATTAGGCACACAACACCCTGACAGACAGTTCTACAACTTGCTTGAGTGTCTCAAATGAAGGAAGTCAAATACTGTAAGCAATTAGCAACACTGCTGTTGGGGTGACTTCATTTTCTTTAAGTGGGAAGGTGGGATAAAAGAGAATCATTTCGCATGTGCCAGACATTTGTTCTCTTTCATCCAACCCTACTTTCTCAGGGTAGCCTTTGTGCTGGTTTGAGAGAAAATGGTCCCCAGAGGGAGTGACACTATGAGGAAGTGTGTCCATTCGATTAGGTGTGGTCTTGTTGGAGGAAGTGTGTTGCTGTGGAGGTGGGCTTTGAGGTCTCATATATGCTCAAGCCATGCCCAGTAAGACAGTTCACCTCCTGTTGCCTGCAAAATATAGAACTCTCACCTACCTCTCAAACACCATGTCTGCCTGAATGTCACCATGTCCCACCATGATGATTATGGAATAAATCTCTGAACTGTAATCGAGTCACCCAATTAAATGTTTTGCCATGGTCATGTGTCTCTTCACAAAAATAGAAACCCTAACTAAGACATTTCCATTTTCAAATATCTAATGAAACAGGAAGCTATCCCATCTCTACCTCTTCTCCTCCAGGATAAAATAACCAATACAAATACTAAAGACTGTAAATTATAGAAGATGCCAAAAATTGGGTCCTCAATGAGTCCCAGAAATAAGATTAACAAGAAAACGGGAAAACATTTTATCTTTTCATTGCCTTTTATTAAATACTTCTAAATCCTCCTGCCACGCTTTTGCTGCCAGCCATCATATAGTGTGCAGTTACAGAGAGAAGCCTGTCCTGTTCCCTACAAATTCACAAGTTCCTCACACTTAGTGGGCGTGTCTGTATTTGGAGATGGAGCCTTTGGGCCCTGACTATTTATGTGAGGTCTTACAGGTGGGACCCTAATGAAGCACAACTGGTCCCTTATAAGTAGAAAGAGATGGATAAACACACATAGAAGAAAGACCAATAAAATCATGGTGATGAACTGAGCATTATAAACTCAGAAAAGAAACCTCCCTAATCTGACTCCTTAGTCTCCCAGACTGTAGCACTATAAGATATAAATTCCCATTCCTTAAGCCACGTCACCTGCAGTATTTTGTATGGAAGCCTCAGTAGATCAATACAGGGAACAAGAACTCTATACCTGATTTTGCTGTTAACTATAATTAACCCTGGAGCCCTTTGCCACTGTAGATCTCAGTGCTGAAAAGTGTTTTGTCCCTCATAAATTATCATCATATACTTTCATCTGTCATCCTGTCTGGGAGTGTGAACTGTGCTTGGAGTGGTAGGCAAGGTTTTATGGAATATGACCTTCTAGGCTTCAACTATGCTTCTTTGAGGAGATTCACTGGCCCCATAAACAGTTATCAGACATTTAAGAGCAACTTCAACTTTTTCCATGAGAGTCCACAGCCTTCTCACTTTCTTCTTCTGAATGACAGCAGGGTCTTCTTGCCTCCATCATAAATACTCTCCAGGTTCTCGCTCTTCTTCACTACAAAATTTTAAGATAGAGGCTAGGATAGTAGGTAAAAAAGACAAATAAAGGCAGATATGTCTGTCCTAAAGTTCCTGAATTTTAACTTCTTTAAATTTTCCTCCAAAAGAATCCTGGAGTGATGGAATATACTAGTAAGTTTTGGAAGTTGTGTAGTCCACCTACTCAAGCACTTCAAAAACCCTTAACATCTATAACAATTGTAATTATTGTGTATTTATACCCATTTGGGGCTTAGTAAGGACTGGTGGTGACTAATTCCAATAATAACTCCAACTGTCAAACCAACAACTAATTCTTTTCTAAAAACATTACAGTCCAGCAGTCTTCCTGTCCAAATAAAATCACCTCTAGCATTAAATGCTCTGACATCTGGGGAAGCATTAAATGTCCTGCCATCTGTGGATGTCTATGATTAGAGCCAGAAATCTTAGCATTAAATTGTACCTTCCCAAGTCATCTAGGCCATCAGTTGTACTTTGAAAGAGAGGACTGGAATCCAGGACAGTGTGCTTGGTTTTTCAACTGCTAGAAAGTGCCATAATATGTATCCAGACTCCCATCTCCTGGCCCCACCCTATGATGTAAGGTCAACTCCTACATTGCTGTGACCAAAATCCTTGACAAAACCCAGGGAGGAAAGATCTATCTGGACCAACACTTCTAATGGTTCAGTTCATGGGAAGTTGTTCCCATGAGCCACAGGCAGAAGAAACCTGTCACATTGTTCATATCGTGGCTGATCAGGAAGTGGAGTACGATTGGGAGCAGCCAAGAACAATCTACTCACAAGGACCTGCCCTTAGTGACAGATTTCTTCCAACTAGGGTCCATCACCCAAGGTTTATGTAACCTCCCAAAATGACAGGACTGGCTGGGGACCAGACATTTAAAACTTGAATGTATGGAGGAACAGTTCATAGATTCTTGCTGTAACAGTCAACCAACCTCAGATGATCCACAGGGCACGTGCAAACACCCATTCTCATGTGATAATCTCTAGTTATCTTTGGAGGCATGAGTCAGCCAGTTTGTGCAGAGCCCCCCATGACTCACTCAGAAAGAGGTGGAGAGGGGCAGATATGGTTGGTAGCTGTGGGCCATTTTTTGTTTGTTTGTTTGTTTTGAGGCAGGTTTCTCCATGTTGCCCTAGCTGTCCTTAAACTGCTCTGTAGACTAGGCTGACCTCAATTTCACAGAGATCCACTTGCCTCTGCCTTCTGAATGCTGGGATTAAAGGCTTGTGCCACCACTGGCCAGCCTCATCTCCAATTCTTGATTTTAATCCTAGTCTCCAGAATAGGAGAATGGCTTCCTTATGTGGTGGTCTCTGCAATTAACAAGGCTCATCCACTCACAAAGGATGGCTTCAAGTCAACACCAATAACAGATAGGTATTCAAAAAAGAAAGGAAAACATCTTTCCTTACTTGGTCCTATGTGACCCTTAGCTCAAGATTTAGGCCTTCTGTTTTAATAGGGTTTCTACCTGTGTGATCTCAAAAGCCACTGAAATACTTCAAGTTTTACTTTACTGATTACTGATTATTTTACTGATGGTTTGACCTAATTTGCAAAAATATTTCCCTGAAGGATGAGGAGTGATTTCCTTTCATAATAAAAACAGACCTTATTAGAAGTTAGCCACATCTTCAGAACAGGATAGAAGTTGAATGATACCTCTGGTTCTGGGACTTGGCCGTTTTGGCAAATCTCTGGCACTCCCCTTCCCCCCATCCTCACTCCAAGTGAGCAGACCTTTTGATTTTCCTGCTGATAATGTCCTTAAAAGAATCAACTGAAGTATTGTTATCAGCCTCGAGGTTTCTGTTCTCATTTGTGTCTATATTTAGACACAAACAGACACTGTTGGAAGAAAACAGTCTCTTTCCAGTGTCCTGGCTGGGGGAGGGAGTGTTTTTAATCGAGTTAATGGAGTGCCTTAGCTGGAATTCCCCAGTGAGGTCTTGATGGGGGAGGGAAAACATGCTGAAGTTTATGGACTGTGGACTTTGCCATTTGATGGAATGACTAAGATGCTGATGATTAGTTCTCAGGCTGAAGGCCACCTCCATGTGCTTCAGAGATCTTGGGCCAGGCGGATGATGAGGCAGGCCTGGGGACTCGGTTAATGAATGTATTTAAGAAAAAGCCGGACTCTTGTGTCCTACGAAGAGTACAGTAGGCCTGAGCTCAGGATTGGTATTGATGAACACAGTTTTAAAGAGTTGATGCTAGACAGTGTCTGTACTGAGTTCAGAGCTGAAGTCTGATGGACTGAGTTAGAAGGGATCCTGGAACTAATGGATGTACAACCCAGTCATGCCAGTTTCCTGTCTCTCTCTGATGGCTTTGAGAAATTAATTATTTTTCTTTCTTTATACCATTTTCATGGAATAGTTTCTCCAACAAAATCCTTCCTATTCTTATCATTCTGCGTGCAGGCCACAGGGCACATGATCGTCTTACTAGAAATGAGAAGGTTCATGTGCTGATCCAGCGTAGACTACATCTTAGTACTAGGTACCAGGTAGGAAGGGAGGGCTAATAAGGTGTTTTCCAGGGGAAACCTTGGCTAACATGCGCTGATGTGATTCTTCTCTATCCATTTCCTACCACCCCCATGCTCTGCAAAGACTGGGCAGGACTCCAAAGCCCCATTACCTCTCCCACTCCCTTCCTCACCCCATAATTGGAGGGACTCAGGAAAGTCAGAGCCTCCAAAGAATCTGCCCCCACTCAATGCATTGGTGATGCACAAAAATCACCTTTTCCCCCCCGACTGTATTGGGGGGCAGGGACAAAAATGAAAATCCTTAGAGAATCAGGATATTCAGCTGTTTAGAGAAACAGAATCTGGTTGTTGAGGGAGATGGAGAACGGATGTGGAGCAGTGTGCACTTTCTCCAGGTTTAAATGCTTTGGGCCTGACATTGGACTTCTGGTATTGACCCAGTTTCTTGACTGACTGGGTGTTTGGGCTCTCTGAAGCAGCCTTCTCTCCTTTAGGACCCTTCCCCGAGGGAGCTGCTGCCTGTGTTCGCAGGGTTCACACAGTTCTCTTCACTTGGCCATGGTAAGATACTTCTACTTTAGCTGCCTGAGACTTTTGTCTCCATGCTCATTTCCCTGTCTGCTTCTCTGTTTTGTTTTGGTGTTGTCCTGTTCAGGTGGGGATGAGGGTGGAGACTTTTCCATGAACATTGACTTGGCACTGAGTTAATAAAAACAACTCTTTAATGCTTCGAGATGTAGCTGCACTTTTCAACTCTTATTCTCATTTAGGATTTCCAATTCCTTTGGAACACGGAAACTAAAGGTAGGTATTCTTGCATTTCTGCCTCCCTCCAATCTCTTAATTCTCTAAACAATTTCATCTTTTCCTTCTGTCTTGACATTCAAGATCTTCTACACACTTGGTTATTTAATGCTTGGCTATTGGGTCTCTGTTTACCGGGAACACAAATGCAACATGGAAAACAGTAAGGTTGGGAGACACTGAGAGAACAGTGAATCGAGCCTGAAGGACCAGAACAGAGGCCTGAGAGAACGTTAATTTTTCTATATCTACCTTACTGTCTGTGGCTCTTGGACAAAGGAGAGGGTCCTTAAACCTGGAAGGGTCAAGAGAGGAAATCCAACCTTTTCTTCTTAAGGCTGAAATGAAACACTGGTGTAGCTGCTTGAGAAACCAAATGATAGACCAGCCTGGGCTGGAAGTGGGGGTAAAGACAGGGAGGTGACAGGGTGGAGAGCGAAAATGGAGGAAAACACATGGCCTTCCGAAGAGGAAATGGAGTTATGAAAAGAGATGGAAAAAGCAGTCCTTCCAGGATAATGCCCTTTGTATCCCCCCTCCCAAAGGGAAGCTCAGCTGGAGATGTGAGGAAGCTGGAAGAATACCATGGAAGCCCAGGTTACCTGGCAGGAGGAAAGAGCCAAGGGGAAAGCAGACACCAGGGGACAGGGTCACGTTTTTCTTGGCATTGGGATATTTTCAAATGAGTTATTTTTCAAAAGTTTCCAAGGAGGATCCCTTACCAGTTTCCAGCCTCCATTTGGGATTTGAAACCTACAGGAAGCAAAGACCCTTCCCATGACCTCTTTTCTTCCTCTCTAAATTAAATTTGGATGCAGCGAGCTGGTGAAGCACGGGCTGGGGCCTTCTGCGGTGTGGTCTTTCCCTAGGACAGGGGGGGACTGGTTCTCCCCCCAAGTAAAGGCTGTTTTGACAAGTGAGGGACATTGTTTTGGGGTTTGGCAAGTTGTTTAGAGATTTGGCTTTCATGTTCTTTCTTCTGTAAAATAAGAAGTCTGGGTTTAAATCATTGCTTCTTAACTTTGTGGGAAGCTGGTACGAGACCCTTTTTGGAAATATACTTAAGGCTATGGATCTACTCCCCAGAAGGGTGAGCATAAACCAGCTCGTATAGAATTCTTTGGACAGTTCTCGGGCTTCTGGTCTCTAAAGCACATGGTTTTCCAGTGTCATTTTCCTACTTGAAGAAGGCTTAGACTTCTTTAACCTTTTGAATTCAGGCATTGAGCAATGGCAGGCGAACCGAAGTGTGACCCTTCTGGGCTGAAGGGTCTTTCTTTCCCTAGTGTGGTGGGTGGGTTAACAACACTCAAAACAGTGGCTTTCCCTCCTCAGTCCCTCAGATAGCAGTAGCATAGGACCAGTGTGGTCAGATGGCCTTGAATTATCATGCAGCACATGTAAGAAGTAAGCCTTTGCTGCAGAAGCTCCTTTGTTTCTGAGGTTCATTGTCACTCCAGCAGAACATAACACACAGACTGATACATCCCTTATGTCATCAATCATTCCCTCATGACCTCTGATGCTTTTTCTGAGCTCCATGTTACTGATTCTAAATCTAAGTACTGCCAATGTCTTTTTTTTTTTTAAAGAATGTCTTTAAATCTGCGAGATGAACATTGAAAATGCAACTTCATCATCTTGAACCACCTACCTCCTCAGCCTGGCTCACAAGAAACATTCAGTTTGGAGTCATTGAATTCAGAATTCAACCAGAATCCCACTTCAAAGTCAGTGATGTTGCCAAAGACTTGGTTAGGTTTTTCCATCGGGTCCCAGGGGCAGATGAGGATGAGGGGATCTGTATAGCTCTCCTGATGTGCATATACCCACTCCCTCTCATTTTCAGAAGAGAAGAGAAGTCAGGCAAATAAATACTAGCATACTCCTAAATGCTTCCAATGGCAAAAGTCAGGTCAGAAGGCAGGATGTCTGCGCTTGGCTTCTATTTATGGATTATGAAGTTTAAACAGAGCCCTCCATTTAGAATTCATCTGGCCATTAAAACTGCTTCCCAATTTATTATCTGCAAGGAAGCGGACAACGTTCCGATGGTTCTCTGTAGCTTTATGTAAGGATGTTTTGCATGTGTATAATTCACCGATCAATTTTACCTTGTCAAAACAGAAAACGTCTGTCAAACACAGGATGAGGCTCATTAGAGAGATGCAGGCAATAGCACGATGGAGAGGAGAATAAACAGACTGCCCAGAAATAAGGAAACAAGAGACTATTCAGGAAGCAAGTGGAAAGGGCAGAAAATGATACAGTGGTCACGGCAGACCCAGGGCTAGTGAATGACACTGCTATGTAGGAAATGATACTGAATGGGGCAAAATTTTTTTTCAGTAATTAGTGGGTGATGGTAGCTCATGATCAAGGGCTGATAAATGACTAGTCAGCAAAGCAGCCGAACCCATCTTCTCCCTTCTAGATGGCACGAGATTTTCCCAGCTGAACATTCTACAGTTACGATGTGTCCACCGAACATGGAAACCTAATGTGGAATTGTCGTGGTTCTCCACAGAAGTAGTTGGCATAGTCTATTGTTGAATGTGTATGAGAGGAAGGAAGGGAGGGAGGAAGGGAGTGAGGGAGTGATGGAGGGAGGGAAAGAGGGAGGGAGGGAGGGAGGGAAAGAGGGAGGGAGGGAGGGAGGGGAGGACAGAAAGTGAAAGTGGAGTCTAAGTGGTAATTAAAAGGCCACCTATTATATACAGAACACACAGACTTGCCATTTTAAATGCTTCTAATTGAGTAGGATGCACCTTCATGTGATTCAGAATTGTTCCCCTCTTATTTATTCTAACAATAGAACATGCTTTTCTTTACCTTGCTTCTCTCTTTCTACAGAGGTGTTTGTATAGAGCTTCCAGTCTCTAGCATGCTGGTTTATATATGTACAATGATTTATTGGATCTCTTTAAATGAATATCCTGGGGCCAGTGAGACAGCACAGTAGGTGTAAACATTTGGTGTCAAGCCTCATGGCCTGAGCTGGATTCCTGAGACCCACATGGTGGAAGGAAAGAACTAATTCTGCAAGTTTGTGTACACACACACACACACACACTATTTTAATGAGCATCTTTGCATCTTAGCACTATCAAATCTCTTGCTGTTAAGTGTACCACTGGAGAAGATGACACTGCACTTGCTTCATTGCACAAGTGTGAGCAGGAGTCATCACTGTGCCAGACAGTATGTGCTTCTCTGGGCTGACAAGGATTGCCTATTTGCCTACAACTGTGCCATTTGTATGCTTGTCATGAAAGACACTGCTTATTCTCTACCTTCTGACACACACACACATATATATACACACACACATATATATATAGTGTATTCTGATTTTATAGCACTAGTATAATGCAAAAATACAATCTCAGTATATGTGTTAAATGATAATAGAAACATTTTAAGAAGAGCCTGTTGTTCATCTGCATATAGTTCAATAAATCTTCATAAATGAAACACACTGTGTGACCACACAATTCAAAAACCAGAACGGGATCACAGCCCAAAATCTCTTTTTATGACTTCCTTGTAAGTAACTCCAGTAGCTTTTGCCTTTCTCTTGGATGTGAAGCAACTATCTTTAAAAAAAAAACATTTTAAATTGGCTTACAGAAGTTGAACACCGTCACATGTTTTCAGGAGCTACTTGCATTTCCTTCTCTATGGCCTGTACCTCCCTCATTTCTCTGGCCTAGTCATAGATTAGCATGTTGGTGGCCTAGTCCTCAACTAGAACTTATTTGAACGACAAGGAAATTCCAGTCTACAATAAGAAGACAAGAGAATTTGGGGGAAAATTCATCAACTGTGGTAGACTCCCCCTTTTTCAGTCCATTTCTGCTCCTATCTATTTCCAAACGCCTTGGACAAATAGATTCTTTTTTTCTTTCAAGTAAAGGATTTATCATCAGGCATAAATCAAATGTTGGAGGTGGGGTATGACCAGCATAAAACCAAGTCAAGGGATAAACCTGGGAAATAGGACCATCCAAAAAGATGTGGGGAAGCATCTGGAAAGAGGTCTCCAGCAGCACAGACCCCCCTGCATTCCCAGACTGCTTGTCCAGCTCAGCCCCCTCCTCCACCTAAGGCTGCCTTCACTGCTCTCTGTCCACGGACTCTGTGAGGAAGCAGCCCCCTGAGGAGCGTTCACACAGGAGGGGTGGTTTCCTCACAAACAAAAGCAAGCAGGAGGGTTTTGTTTTCCTTTTTCTTTTCTTCCCACCCTGCTCTCTCCCTCTGACTGGATGGTAACCTCACACCACATGCCTTCCAGCAAACACTCATCACCCGATAAATCATGTGACCCCTTCTGTTTACTTAGAGGTGCTGCCCTGGCCCTGGCCTCTAATCCTGTCCCTGGTCTGCAACCAATTTCTGAGTGGTTTTCACTGGAAAGGAGAACTTGTGACGACCAGATAAGGCAGCCTGCTTATCTGCATAGAGGAGCTCCCCCGGGGGACAGGCCAAGATGCTGCGAGAGACAGAGAAACTCAACACAGAGGATAGGAAGCCATGGTCCAGAACAACTAGCCCTGCCTAGTTCCCACACAGTTTTCAGGGCTGTAGCCATTCTCCCAGAAGGGATTTTCAGGTCTGTTTTTGTTGAATACTTTGGCCCAAACCTCTGTCTGAACTAGCTTTTTCTCTTCTTTCTTTCTTTCTTTCTTTCTTTCTTTCTTTCTTTCTTTCTTTCTTTCTTTCTGTCTGTCTGTCTTTCTTTCCTTCTTTCCTTCCTTCTCTCTCTCTCTCCCTCCCTCCCTCTTTCCTACCTTCCTTCCTTTCGTGGGGCTGCTTACAATGTAAAGAAGGCACATGCTGCTTTTGTGGAGGTGGACTGCCTGGCTCTCAGACTTGAGCAGTGTATCTGAGTGAGCTTCTCAACTGTCAGCATCAGAAGGCCTGGAACTGACCGAGTAAGGATGAGCAGATTCTTCTGATCCGTTCCAGGCCAAGAAATTAGAATTTGCCAAAATGTTAGGCTCCATAATAAGGAGGGGCGAGAGTCCCTAGAGGTAAGTTTTAGGATTACTGGCTGACAACTATGATTCTAAATTCACCGTTTAAGAAAGTCCTGGTAGGTGTGTGCCAGGCTGTGACATGAACTGAAGAAAACCTGTATAGTACCATCGTCCCACCTTTCTTAGTCAGTGTGTCACCTACCCAGTCAATGGGTAGTTTCTTAAGATAAGGAAATACTTCATTCATGTTTTCCTTTGTGTATATATTTTAAGATTTATTACTTTTACTTTGTGTACATGGGATTTTGGCCTGCATGTATGTTTGTACATCACCTGTTCACAATGTCCCAAAAGTCAGAAGAGGGCATCAGATCCCTTTGGAACTGTAGTTACAGATGGTTGTGAGCCACCATATGGTTACTGGGAATTGAACCCAGGTCCTCTGGAAGAGCAGTCAGTGCTCTTAACTGATGGGCCATCTCTATAACCACATTCCTTTTTCTCCTTAAAGTCACCGTCCACTTGGAAAGCTCTCCCAGGGCAGATGTCTTATAGAAGGAGCACGGGGCTGGAACCACAGCAGCACGCTGACTTAGGGCGGGATGGGTGAGGAAGTAGAAGAGTGAACTGAGTATTTGTCTGGGCCATTATTCAATAAAACCATTGCTTCTGGTTTTCAGACTTCATTTGCAAACTTGGTCTGCCCACTGCCTCAGGACTCAGTTTTTTACCTTTGAGCAATGAGTTGGGAACCGAGACTCTGGCTGCAAGTCAGAGTGCCCTTCTGAAAAGCTTGAGGAAGGGCTAGTAGCTTGGCCAGAGCCTGGATTGCAGGCCAAAACACTGCAATTCAGGAGCCTCCCTGCAGGTCCCTAGAGACAGCTCAAGATGATGACAGGGAAGGTGTGTGGTACCCAAAGACATCAAACAGTAGCCCCTCTCCAGTGGAGAGCATGAGTCCATTGTGTCTACCTTGGTACCAAGACAGTGAGACACTTTTGTATAAGGGACCATGATGGCTCAAACACTGTCAGTGGTGATTACTACAGAGGTTAGACCAGAAGGCCATCCCCACTCCTCGGGGCTTCCCAGCCGTGATAATATGGAGTGCTTTCAGCTGATAGGTAATAGGATATCAAATTCAAACAGTTTTGAACAAGAGCATTATCTGCATAACACAATATTAGGGGGCTTCTTGGTGATCTTCCCCCCTCTTGGTCATGGAAACAACATGGCTGCTTCCACAGTTCCAGCATGATAGCACACACAAAGATGAGAAGGAATGGAGTTTTGCTTCATGTGCCTTTTATTTAGTTAGGAGGGAAGTGACCATTCACACACCACACCCCAGCTTAATAGTCCAATTCACTGTCATGTGACCATTCTACTCTGCAGGCATGCTTAGGACTGCTGCTTAGCTTAGACTAGTTATCTGTCTGAACCCTAGAAAGGGCCGAATCTCTCTGTGTATTTTTGCGGTCTGCAGTCTGCACGAATAAAATTATGATTGTATCAGCACACAAAAGACAAGTGTGATGGCTTCTGAATGGACCCCAGGTTGCATAAAATCAGTGCCACTGACAGGGTCCTAGTATTTTCTAAAGTATTTCGGATACCTTCAAACCCGACTTTTATTTATTTTACCCTGAAGCTAATAAAGCCTGGGCCATGAGCATCTTCAAAGAGTCCAGTGTATTCAGCAGCTTTGCAGTGTCCATTTGACTTCCAGTCTGTCCCACTCTGAGTGCTTATCTCTTTAAAAGGGAGATTACTACCACAGGGACTGGACTGGAAACCGCTTCGCTGACAGGTTTAAGAGTCTTAGTAAAATAAACAGCAGAAAAGGCAAAAGCGTGCAAAATGGTAGGCTTCTCTCTCCTCATGAGGCTCAGGTTGGGAGCCTAGATCAAAACAAAATAGAGCAGCTGTTAGACTACATGGAGCTTGTACTGGGGAGGAGGCTGGGGAGGGGCTAAGATTGGCATTTCCTTCCAGTCAGTCTTCTTCTTCTCCAGAGATAATTGCCACATGGACAGGCTGCCCACTATACCTGTCCGTCTGGCTCATGGTTTAGGCCTTCAAAGGAGGCTAGAGTTGTGGTTCTGCTTCCTATTTTTCCTACATAAGAAAGCTACCCAAACTGACAACCACAACAAAAGACACTGGGTTTCTCTTGAACTTGATTTCTGGGACTAATTGAAGTCTTTTCTTTGAATATGGAAGAATCTGACTAGAACCAGTACTTGAAAATTTACAAGCAACTTGAAGAGTAGATTTGTGTGTGTGTGTGTGTGTGTGTGTGTGTGTGTGTGTGTGTGTGTGTGTGAGTGAGTGTGTGTGTTCCCATTACTTTCCCAACGCGTTACTTTTCTGGTTATTGAGAGGTATATTGAGAAGTGTTTCCACAAACCAATGCATTCTTGTTTTTGACGCTGGCAGCAGTATTTCCAGCTGGCTCAGAGGAGAGGAGTAAGTGAGAATGCCTAATTCAGACACACATGAAGGAGAGGGACTACTTAGGTGGGACGTTGATGTTTGCAGCACCTAGAAGTATCACTGAGCCAGTGGTCAGTAACTGATGATGTAATACTTC